CCTGCTGAGCCAAAGAAAAAGAGAAAAGTCCACTGTGTTTCAGTCAACTTGGAGAATGTAAAAATTGTGTCCTGGATAACTCCAGATTTGTATAGGTTTTGATGGGAAGATGCCTTGGGCTGAAAGTTTACAGAGAAAGCACCCCTGGAAGAGAATGGCCTGCATCATTCTGAAAAAAAAAAAAACAAACCTGCATTATTTCATGCAACAAGGTCTAGCCTGAAGTTAACCATCACTAAAAGATGTCTCAGCTACACGTCTCCCTCAGCAAGAGATCACTAAGACAAAGCTTTTTAAAACTTTTCTATGGGCTCACTATTTTCCTTCAACAGTTTCAAGGTGAACCAAGAGATTAAAAATAGTCCATAATATATTATTATTCTTAGTTAAGACATTAGTCACATAACACTTCTGGATGTGCACTTCCAGAGCATCTGTCACCCAAGAATTTCCATATTTCTTTCCGAAGTTAAGATTTTGATGGATAAAAATAAAATGGGAAGGTCCAAATCGGGAGGGGGAGACATTAAATCAGTAGCATCTAAGAAGTCCTTTCTATCTAAAAGTCTAACTTTCTATCATATCTACCTGTGTGATCCTGGACAAGTCACTTTGCATCTCTGATTTTCAACTTCATGACTTGTAAAATTGGGAGGCCAGATACCTTCCAGTTTTAACGTCCTGATTTGCTTGGAAAATGCATGGTACAGCTAATACTCGATTCTTCTTTGAAGGAGGCCTATGCTATTTAATTATAGTAGATCTTGACATCTGTGGCTTTGACTATTCCCAGAGACCCCAAAAGTCAATGAGTCGCAATAATCTTATTTTTGCAGAGGCACACTGTGAGCCTGGGATACAGGAGCCAGTCACACGTTCAGTGAGTGAGATTAACATGCTGGCAAGCACCCGTATCTCAGTGAGGCTTTATTATTATCTGCAGGAGGCTCAGAGGCTATTATTCCCAGGATGTGCTGCAGGGGTAGTCACAAGGGTATGGATTCTTCTGGAGCACGAAGATGTCAGTAGTATCCCTCTCAAATATCACGAGTTTATTGTAACGTGGGTTTAAAGTAATCATGTTTCCACCCACACCCCCGCCCCACTTCATCTGCTTCACTACTACATCCTTAATGAAGGTACTTTAAAAACTTTAGTCAGACTTCCCTGGTGGCGCAGTGGTTAAGAATCCACCTGCCAATGCAGGGGACACAGGTTCGAGCCCTGGTCCAGGAAGATCCCACACGCCGTGGCGCAACTAAGCCTGTGCACCACAACTGCTGAGCCTGCACTCTAGAGCCCGCGAGCCACAGCTACTGAAGCCCACGTGCCTAGAGCCCATGCTCTACAACAAAAGAAGCCACCGCAATGAGAAGCCCGCGCACCGCAACGAAGAGTAGCCCCCGTTCGCCGCAACTAGAGAAAGCCTGCGCGCAGCAACGAAGACCCAATGCAGCCAAAAATAATAAATATTTTAAAAAAACAAAAATCTTTAGTGGTGTCACACACACAATGAGGAGTTTCATTCCCCTTTTATTGAGCTTATCTCAACCATACGTCTCCCACGTGTTCTGATTTGTGTGTATACCTTGTGTCCACTCCACTGGAGAATAAGATCCTTGGGGGCTGAAATGCCAGCTTATCTTAATCACTTATTTCTCTCCGGTACCTAGTAATGTACCTAGGATGTAGCAGATATTTAATAACTGTCTACTGAATGAATGAGCACCTTTGATGAGCAGGCACTGTGCTAAAGGTGCATTTTCTTCATATTAGTATGTAGTACTTATCACAGTCCTGAAGGATAGATATTATTGTTCCTATCATTCCAACAAAATATCTGGGACTCAGACAGCTGAAGTGACTCATTACAAGTTACACAGCTGGTGAGCAATGGATTCACAGCTGTTTGTCAGACGCCAAAGTTCGTGTTTTTTCATCCTACCGTGGTGCTAAGGACACCTTTGAAGAAGTAAAGCACAAAACCAAATGAGTGAATTCACGGACCTAATATTATTGATAGAGCATAGGGCTGGCTTCATCCTGAATAGATTCAGAGGAGTATGGTGAGGGCAAAAGTGACGATGCTGCCAGGATTGGTGGGCAAAAAAAGCCACGCAAAGAGAGAAGGATTAGAAAGTAAAATCGTTCCAGGCATCACACAGCTTCTGTCTAAGTCCTCCTGAGGGTTTTAATTTCAGTTTCCAGATTGGTATTGCGATTAGCAGGGTCTCAGGGTAAGAGCTAGATTCTAGATAAGATGAAGTTGAACACTGGAACTGGAAAGCAAGCATTCATGATCCAATCATGACAGTCATCTGAAAAGCCACTTTCCTTCCTGGGTTTCACGGTTTGGTCAAGAGCTTTAGAGCCTTTCAACTCTAACTTGGCACCAGGAGCATCAAGAGCTTGTTAGAAATGCAGAATCTCAAGCTCTACTCTAGACCTTTGGAATAATAATCTGCATTTTAGCAAGATCCCTGAGTGGCTCATAAGCACATTAAAATTTGAGAAACACTACTGGAAGATATTCTGAGGTCCCTTCTGGCTCCAGTATTTTATGAGTTTAGATTAGCAATCTCCATGGTAACCAAAAAACTTGCAGGCTTATTAATTAGGGTCACACAGAGATCCAATCAGGTAACCTGATTGGATCAATGGTGTCTTCTGAAGAATATTGTTAATTCATTGATATTACTATTAATGGCCTTGTTTACTGAGCACATACCATGTACAAGGAACACTGCACATAATATCTTGAATCATTATAACAGCCCTGCACGAGAGATATTATTATCCCCATTTTTTCAATGAGGAAATAATCTAAGTTAATAAAATTTCTCCAAACTACATAGTTAAATCAGTAGTAGAGCCAGAATCCTAACCCAGAGTACTACACTTAGAGCCCATGGGGTTTTTTGGCTGTATCATACTGCCTCTAGATGTAAAATTCCAATTTAAAGTATCAAAGGTAGGGCTCCTTTTGTGAGAAGAGACTAGCAGGTTTTGGACTCATTCTTCTGCAATGTAGAAGGCCAAGAGGGTAGTCTAAAGTCTACTGAAGTCTAAAAAATAATGCAAAGGAACAGGTGGGAAACCCTACAATACCCTGGACCAGCATCTCAAACGTGTGGAAGTGCATATACATTTAGAACAAGTATCACCCAGAAGCGATAATTCATGAGGCTCCTTTACATCAAGACAGTAATCAAGCTGAAAATGCACACAGGTCTGAGGAAGGTTTAGCCATATTTAGAGATCCTAGGTGCCCAATTGATTACTAATGAGGTGAAGAAATTGGGAGCTCAACTTCTGATCTCTCAGAAACTACCCTTCAGTTCCCTCGGTAGACAGGTACTGAATAGGAGGAACCCCAAGTCTGTCCAGTTATGGCCAATGCTGTGGTCTTGATGTCATTTCATGCCTGACAATAACTTCTTATCTACTGACATTGCCATAAATACCTGTGAAATTTCATGGAGTTTTTCCTCCCAGCGAGGGCCTTCATTTGTATGTATATAAATGGATAGTATTCTCTAGAAGGCACAGGTTTTTACTTATGGTAACAAGTTATTATCCTTCCCAGCAAAATGACTAAACAGAGCTCCAATAAATCAATTTGTCAACGGCCATTTCATTTCAGAAGACAGTATCCCCCCTTCCATCTTTGGCTGCTGTGGGTATGAGAGCCTATGTCTATAGTTCAGAAAATCCTACCGCTGGGAGGAACTGCAAAAAGAGACGAGCCCAGCCTTGAGGCAAGCAAAGTATTGTTATTCCCACTTTACAGATGAGAGTTTTCATTTCCCATTGAAAGTGTTCTTAGCAGGTTCTTGGAGCAGTTTGACATCTCCCACTGTCTATACATGCCCCCTTTGTTCTTCACACCTTCCCCTCTACTGTTTATTGCTCGTGGATGTGAGCAGGAACTCTGAGACCAATGTTCCCCTTTCTCATCCCCTTTCTTCTTGGCCAACTTGGAAAGTCTGCCCTCTCATAAGCTGCGAATCCTGGGGAGAGTCAGTCTGCTATCTTCTTTAAAGATATCCATCCGAGAACAGGACTGAATACCCAGTATAAGATGTTTCAATGGGGGAGGCCTCAGAGTGACAAAGGCAATAGAAGTGCAAGACCCACAGTGTCTGAAGGACTAAATGGGGCAGTAACCTGAGAAGTATTTTAGGAGAACTCTGGACTATGAAAAGAGATGACCACACAGAAGATGTATTTTTCCCCCACAATTCCTAGGAGGCTTCTGCTCCACTGCTTAGCCAGATTTTGGAGCTTAGACCTGTGACTGAAGACAGGTGGCCGCTACCCTGGGAGCTCTGCTTCTCCAAGATACCTCCAGGACCCAAGCCATACTGATTCATCTCACCTAAACTGGGCAAGCCTCGCACCATAAAATAGCCTATTGGTGTTTAAAGAGACTGCTAAGTTTCAATCAGCTTTGCAATTTCCAAATTGAAGGACAGGTGCCTGAAATCTGCTTGTACAATACAGTTGCAATATGGTACTGGAAACAAAAAAAGCCAATGCCACTCACTTTTTGAGGATGTCCTGATTGGGCTACCACCGTCTCAGAATGGAAAGGATTGGCTTCAAAACTCATGTAAGCCCTTGGCCTGAGAAGAGGAGGAAGGAGAGACCCAAGCAGTCTCCTAGCTCTTGCTAGGAGAATTCACAAGAATCCCCCCAAATCTGATATCAGAACTTCTGTCATCCCACACCTCCACCAGCCATCATTTTGAGTTTCAATGGACAAAATGTTCTACGTCCTTAGATCCTGCCACAGGATTCCTTGCCCGTAAACAATTTAAAGTGAGAAAGCTGACGGAGATTTTGGAAGCAGAACCTGGCAGGAGGGTCTGCTGATCCTGCATACCTGTGATGGAACCAAAGTTTGACATTAACACAAATACAAGAAAAAGTTTTAAAACGTGGTGCAGGAGAGAAGGGGGTGGCAAGGGACGGAGGCAGATGGACTGTGGAAAGGTTACTTACACAGTTTCATCATTCTTGAACTCCATCTCCCCATATGTGTCTTCAAAATCCTCACCACCACCCTTGGCGGCCCCTTCTACTGTCCTAAAGGGTACGATGACTGTGCCCCGGGCACCTGATGTCCGCAGAACCTTGACCTCCATGACACCAATACTTTCACTGACATGAACAGTGTCACATTCAAAAGTGAAGATGCCCGCATGGTCATCATCCAAGATGGTGACTGTGGCCACACAAGGGGACACCAGGACAGCCCGAGGCAAGGGAACACTATTGAGTACTCTGGGAGGCATCCCCTCCCCTGGCTGCTCCTCCTCTATGCGAACGTTGCTCAACCTCACAAAGAAGTGTTCATCCTCCTCAAAAATGTCATCGTCGATGATGCCCACAGAGAACTCCTTCTGGGTCTCTCCTGGCTTCAGAACCACAGTGCCCTCTGTGAACTCATAGTCAGCCCCCGCATTGGCAGAACCATCCTCTGTTTTGTAGTCCACATACAGGGTCTTGGACATGTCCCCCCCTTTCCTCACCACTGTCAGGAGCACAGCCCCACAGTTCTCCAGGCACTGGTAAGAGCACGGGTCAAAGAAGACCTTGGAGACAAAGTCCTCCGGCTCATCAGTGTGCACCTCGCTCATGCTAGAGGCCTTTTTGGCTTGTTCTGCTGCATGCTTCTTCAGGATATTGCCTGCGCCAGTCATCATACGGGTGGCCTGGATCCGGTAGAAGGCGCGGCTCTTCTGTTGATGGGAGAGAGCATAGTAATTGGCCATCTCTACCAGCTGATCTAAGTCCTTCTCTGGGTGTTTTTGCTTCAGATCCTTGAGAATCCGGATCATCTCCCTGCGGGACTCATCCACTTCCTTCCCTTCCAGGGGCACCAGATGCCCATCTAGGAAGTGGGAATTCATCATTTTCCCATCCATCTCGATGCCCTTGGGGTGGCCACCCTCTGTCTCTATGATGATTCCTCGGTGTTTATCCGTGCGGTACTTTTTGTGCATGTATTTGTAGAACAGCAGTCGCCTATCTGCCACCCAGGCCAGAAGGACACACACTGGAAAGAAGAAGAGAGTGAGGAGGCCTTCCCAAACCTGGACCACACCAGGAGAGAAGACGGCCAGGATCATATAGAGCCAGATGTAGGCAAAGATGCTCCAAGCAGCAGTGACAAAGAAGACTCGGAGGTGCTTTATCTTGCGAGTCTCTCCATCGGGGATCACGTAGACACAGATACCAATGATAATGAACATGTTGAAGGCTGCGCTGCCTACAATGGTAGAAGGTCCCAGATCACCAGCAATGAACCCATGACCACACACCTCAATTAAAGAGAGGAGGATCTCAGGAGCAGAGGAACCCAGGGCCATAAGGGTCAGATTGGAGACAGTTTCGTTCCAGACCCTAATCGTGGTTGTGCTGGTCTCTCCATTGGGCTTTTTGATAGTCACCTCTCTCTCTTGAGAAGTGATGACTTCAATAGATGCCATGAAGCGATCAGCAATGATGGACACCCCGAGAAACATGTATATCAGGGCCACAAAATAGACAATGACCCTGGCAATCTTGTCTCCAAGGGAGGGGTTCTCCGGGTACCAGATTGGCAGGATGACACCCTCCTTGCAGTCCGATGACCCTGTACAGGACTCATTGTTCTGCCCTGTGCTGGGCACATCCCCTGAGCCGCCAGCCTCTGCCCGAAGACCATTCAGGAAGAGCACAAAGGTAATCAGCCCAAAATGGAGGAAGGCAGAGGTAAGAGGCTGCAACCTTAACCACGCCATACACAAGACTTAGCCGCTGGCTTCCACTGCAGCACCAATGGTCCACCTGACAGTCCAGAGACCTAGAAGAGATCAGAGGGGCAGAAAAAGGCATGAAGAAAAGGAGGACAGCAAATGGCAGGTTCCCACCAATTCAAACTGATGCTTCACCTTGAGTGACGTATTGCACTAACACACTGGGCAGTCTCTCACTTGGAAAAATAGATGTCACTGGGAGGTACAAATAGCTGCTCTGTCCTCAGGACCCTCTGGTAGACTCCGTTGAAAAATGGCTTAAAATAGCTGGGAATATTGGTATTGGAAACTTAAGTGGTACCCTTTTAGTCCTGTCTTCCAACCCCTTTGTTATCTGTGAGAGTTCTCAACAATCAACTTAAAATTGACCAAGTATAACATGAATCTTCATCCTCACTTCTACTGTTTCTAGAGTTTTCAGCCTTCCTTAACACACTGTCATCATACTTAAGATACTCAAGAATCTTGCATAACATAGGTTTGCAGGAGTATATACTGAACTTTTTTCCTGGGCTACTCTCCCCAAACAGAACACCTTGCTCTGTGTGCAGTTGAGCCTGGTTGGGAGAAACTCCTTCCCCATATGAAAAATTTAGGGAGGCAAGCTGTAATTCTGAGATCACTTGAGAAATCAAGAGATGTTCTGTAGTGAATATTACCTGCCATATAGCTAAACTGAGGCCCTGTAAGCTGTGCCCAAGACCAGTCCATGGCAGTCCTTAGCCCTCCAGCAAAACATGCTTATGAAAGAGTTTAAGTATCCAGTTACAGCAAGGTGAAGATCCGTCAGCCACTCAAATTCCAAACCCAAACACTGAAGGGGCCAGGTGGTAGAAAGCACTATAAATAACATGCAAGTGGCTCTCAAATACGTTTTTTTTCATCTGTACGCAAGATTTTGGGGGTGAAATGCAGCCTCCTCTGCTGGTCTCAAAGCACTAAAAGGTGAGCATGAGTTCAGAAGAATGGAAGAAATTCAGCTGAAACTACAGACTTATCTTTCTACTCATTGCCTCATTCAGATGGAATGAGAAAGCAAATATTCAATACCTGAAAAAAAGCAATTTGCCCATTTTTCCACCTCTGCTATAACCATGTAGGGGTATTGTTAGTAATGGACGAATGCTGCTCTTCCCTACCTGCTCCTCCTCCTTCTCTGCTGTTTCCCATTTCAGAAAATAGCACTTCCATTCATCCAGTTTCTCATGCTCAAAAATCGCTGCCTGTCTGCAAGCCTTTCTTTCTCCAGTCCAGCACTAAACCCTACCAACTCTCCCCCCAACTCTCTCACCACCATCACAGCCCAAGGCCCCTTACTCCTCACCAGATGAACCTACTACAGTCATCTCCTTACTGAACTCACTCCAACTCTGACCATTCTCTATTCCATCTTCTCATACAGCCACAGTCATCTTTTTTTAAAAAAACCCAAACCTATGCTCTCACTCCCCCATTTGAAGTCCTTCAGTATTTTCCCCTCGCTCTTAATATAGAGACCAGGATCCTTACCATGACCCGCTAAGCCTCGCACGAGCTACTTTCTTCCTCCTCTTCCCCCTCAGCTCTTGCCACTGTCTCTCTCACTGCATTTCTGCAATAACGGCCATATCAGGTCCTAGAGTACATCAACTTATTTTCCACCTCGGGACCTTTGCCCATAACATCACCCACGACCAAAATGACTGTTCCTTCTTTGTACCCCCACTGTTAACAATGCTTTAGATCTCAGCTTGAGTGTCACTCTCTCAGAAAAACTTACGTTCACCCTAAAAATGGTCAACTCCCTCTTTAATTTTCCTTCGTGGCACTAATAACATTTTGAAATTACATGGGTATTTGTAGGATTATATGATTAATGACTAACTCATCCATTAAACTATGAATGACATAAAGGCAAAGATTATGTCTATTCTGTTTATCACAGTATCCTAAGTAGTTAGTTCGATGCTCAGTAAATGTATGTTTGGGAATAAATAAATGTGGCCCTGAGGGAAGCTTCCTCAGTGCTATGGACTGAATTGTGCCCCTCCCCAAATTCCTATGTTGAAGCCCTAATCCACACTGTGGCTTTATTTGGAGATAGGACTTCTAGGAGGTAATTTAGGTGAAATGAAGTCATAAGGGTGGGGTCCTAATCCAATAGGATTGGTGGCCTTATAAGAAGACGAAAGAGAGAGAGAGAGAGAGAGAAAGAGAGAGAGAGAGAGAGAGAGAGAGAGAGAGAGAGGGAGGGAGAGCTCTCCATTTTGTGAGGACATAGGGAGAAAGTGGTCATCTGCAAGCCAGGAAGAGACCTCTATCCAGAAACCAGATTGGCCAGTATCTTGATCTTGGAATCCCAGCCTCCCGATAAATTTCTATTGTTTAACCCACTCAGTCTATGGTATTTTGTTATGGTAGCCTGAGAAGACTAATAAACTCAGAAATCAGCCTTCTTTAAAGTCATTTTACAATCTGAATTATAGCCATTTGTTTTAGGGAAAAAAAAAAAAAATCTCATAGACAAATCCGGACTAGATTTTAGAGGCTATGTACGACCTGTTTAAATTCCCAAGGCTTGTACTCAAAGAGAAATTCCCTTTGGGACACAGTACACCCTGGTGCATACTGTAATCCTGAAGGCCCTCCTCCCAAAGGGCTCTGTGGATTAACTTGGTTTCGTTAATCCACAGAGCCAACTGCTGAGGACCACATTCCCCATTAGTCCAGGTACTGGGGGTCATCCCAGAAGGTGCTTGGAGCTTTGACCTCACTCAGTGGAGGAGAGGCTATGACAATGACCATGGAGGAGTAGAGAGGCTGAAGGTGTCCGGCATCCATATTCAAAGCCCTCATAATCTGTGATGCACACAGTGACCCTATTCATAGGTTTGGCAGTCACCTAGCCAGAGAAATGTGGACAGAGACAGATCTTGGCTCCTTGCCTTGACCTCTGAAAACATAACACTTTGTGAATTCTGATAAGCCCCAGACATGAGGAGACAGAAGGTGGGCACAGCTGGAGCAGCTCTTTGATCAAGAGCCAACATGGTGACAGGCGGTGGCAGCTGCATGGCTGGCCAAGCCCACAGGGGTGGGCTATCCACAGGTCAGGGAAGAGGGCTGGCCTGCTACAGTCAAGGGGCATGTAACACTGAGATAGTAGAGTTATCCTGATCAAAGGGGGACGAGGACTCCTACTGATCTTACCTACCTGGATAATTAAGCAGGATCATGGTCTTTATTTCCCTTGGTCCTACAGACACACGTGGCAATAGGTTTTTACAGGGACTATGCTATCATGTGGTCAGAATCAGGCTGTTCCCTGACCAAACAAATGAATTGAAGGAAAGGATAAAAGAAAACAAGGCAAGAAGGTGGCTAAGAATTGCCTGCATCAAGTTTTTGGAACTGAAGGTGGAAAACGAGCCACGGATGCCCAGCTGTTCTTTCCGGCCCTGCCAGGAGATGGTTTCTGCCTGAGAAGTTAGAGGGAGAGGGGACGTCTCTGATGAACAAGCCAACAGTCATCTTTTTGTGCCATTGCTCCAGCTCCAGACACCAACTGAGACAGATCCCAACCTCCTGGGGCGTCCACTGCAGTCCCTCAGAGACCCAAGTGATATTTGGTGGCTCCAGAAGGCTTTTAATCAGCCCTAAGTCAGGGAGGTGACTCAGCTTGACACCCCCAAGAACCACCCCAAATAAGGAAGATATTAATGATTGTAACTAACACTTAGAAGTGCTTATTGTGTGCATAAAGTATGACCCCATTTCCTCTTCATAACAACCCTATGAGATTAGCACTATTTTTATCCCTCTTTTACATTTTGGGAAACTGAGTCTTAGTTAAGTCATTTGAGTCATTTACTCAAAGCATAAAGCAAAGAAGTAGCAGAGCCAGAGCTCACACACAGATGACATAAAATTTATGGTCTTAACCATTCCACTTTACTAGGATGTCCCAATTTGTTGCAGAATGTCCACGAGCCCCCATCAACTTCCAGTCTTCTGTGGACTTAGAAGCAATATGACTGCCCCACGTACCCTCACAGGAGAGACCAACCATTTGGTAGAGTTGCCCAGTCCCCAGGTTTCCTGGGGGTGTCCTGGTTGCCCGAGGCCATCTCCCACACGAATATTCTCCTTCCCATCAGTTCAGTTTGACAAACATTAACAAACGCCTGTGATTCTCCAGGCCTGGTACTAGATGCCGGTGGGCAAAATAAAAAATGATACAGGGTTTGCCCTCGAAGGTACCATCTAGCAGAGGTGGAGAGCTGCACACACAGGCACTTCTACCATCGTCAGTGAAGGTATGGGCAGAATGCTGCCGCACGCAAGGAGGGCACTGAGCCAGCCTGGGGATTCAGGAGGCGTTCTGAAGGAAGTGATCCCTGAAATGAGGCTTCAAGCATGAGTGAGCTTTAGTTTTAAAAAAAAAAAAAGAAGAAGAAGAAAGAAAGAAAAAGAAAGAAAGAGGGAAGGGCACTTGAGTCAAAGAGAACAGCCCAAGCAAAGAAACGAAGCCACGGAAAAGCCTGCTGTGTGCACAGGATTACAAGGAATTCAGTGCGAGGCAGAAGGGGCAGAAGATGAGGCTGGTCACGGAGGGAGGACCCAATTCATGGCAAGTCTTATATGCCAGGCTGAGAAGATGAGATTTTTTTTATCCTAAGGGCAGTGAAAAGCCAATGACAGTATTCTGAACAGGAGAATGACATGGTCTGATCTGTATTTCAGAAAAACGAATTTGGCTAAAGTGTTTAGGATGGCTGTAGGAGGAACAAAACCAAAGCAGGAAGATCAGTTTGAAATCCATTGGAAACAGAACAGATACAGATAAAGAGGGTGGGCCTAGGGTATATTCTGCCTATGATGACCCTCTGTCCCCTCAGCTCAGCCCACAGCCTCTCATCTTTTTCCTGGATTATTTTCCTAACGCCCCCAGGGGCCGTCTGCAAGGTGTCTGTGTCCTCAGCAGTGGCTCCTGACATCTTTTAATATCACTGGCATATTTAATGAAAATCACTGTTCCTCTGCTCTTCCAGATCATTAATAA